CAGCAGAGGCCTGCCAGATGCAAGCAAGTCCTGGCCCAAATCAGAGCCTGGGGGAGGAATTCATTGGCTCTCAGTATTTCTAAGGCCCCCTGGGTGTGAGGGTTGCTCAGCATCCTTCAGGGAGGAGTCTGCTCAGGTCTAGATAGATCTGTGGGGCTTTGAGAGCCAGGAGCCATGTTGGAGTGCTCTGGGCATGTCATGCTCTAATTGTTACTTCATTTATTCACTCTTTAATCCATTTGTTTATTCCTGAAACTTACATTAGCTGTTTCTTCCCTTCCTCATTCTGAAAAGGATTTAAGATGTTCCTATTAGCACCTACTATATAGCATATCAGTCACATACGGTTTCAGAAATATGCTATTCCCCATCTGCAATGCCTTCTCCATCTTTCCTTCTGTTCAAACAAAATCTATTCTTCCAACAAGGCCTAGACCCAGTTTCACCTCCTCCGTGCAAACCCCTCAGTCATGTCAGCCATGGTCTCTTCTCTTTGGAGCTCTTTCAGTACTTACACTCTGGATCACATATTTTCCTATATAAGTATATTTCATTCTAGCTTACCCTGCCTCTCTGACTAAACTGTAAGCCCTTTGGGGTTGGAGACTTAGTATATAAATTTTTAATGTCTCTAACGTCTACTAAGGCACTGAGGACATAACAGGCCCTCAGTAACAGGCATTGCTGTTTAGAGAAACATGCATCTCTGCACTGGAGTGATTCTTGACGATGCACTGTAACTAGGACTAATAATGCACTCCCCGAGTTTCTCAGGAACACTCCATTTGAGCATGAACAGTTTAAATTACAAGGTCAGCTACCAGAAAGAGGGAAATTAAATTTGAAAAGCAATAAAGTAGCAATTTACATTTGTTCTCACCAGAGACTAAAGGAATACATTATAACACAGTGACAAGTTAATGTTGGAGCTTTGCTGAAAGTTGACTGTTACACAGACAGACTTTGTTGCACCCACCCATTTTAGGCTTCTGGGAAGTGTGCTGGGATTTTGCAGGTTCTTCTTGTTATGAGTTACTGCTGAGAAATCTAGAACTTGCCCCCAAGACACTTCTCCAAAAAAGAGATCAAGTGACCTAGTCCAAGGAAACGAGAAATAGAGGCAACAGTCAAGATTCTCCTTTTGCTTCACTCTGTGGGCAGGAGAGCGAGTGGGAGGAAGTGGGGGAAATCTGAAAGTTTTAAAGGGCCTTTAAAATGCCAGTGTAGAGAAATAAGGAAACTGGTTCTCAGCATTGTCTTCCCTTGACCAAATTTTGCTTTTCATTGCTCATTTAACAACGTTTCCTTGGGTGCTTACTTTAATATTGTTAAGCTTTATTTTCGGGCATTTACTTGTCTTTCTCTATTATTTTATGCTCTTCTTCTTTATTTTATGCTCATTCCCCCTTTTTAATTAACCCTCTCTCTCCATCTCCAAAGTCTTTATAAATTATTTTTTTAGTAAAAGTTTTTATTTCAAATGCCCGAAGTGTAGCTTTTAGTGAGAAAAGGATTGGGTTTGCATCCTGCGGAACCAGACCAGGGATTCTTCATGAGTGGCTGCTCTGTTGGGTTTCTGTGTTTGGAATCTGTCTGCCTTGGCTCAATATTTCTATAACGTCACATAAGGAAGTGCCTTCCTGCTGCATCAGTAACTTAAAAAAAGAGAAGCACATTAAAGGTGGCCACTAACTAACTTTAATGCTTAATCCATATTCATTATAATCTTGAATTGATTCATTGGATCATGATTGCACAACAGTTTTTAAAATGCAACTTTGTCTTTTTTTTTTAAAGCATCCGCCACTATGTGGCAGGCACTGGCCTAAGGATACAGATATGAATACATTGCATTCCCGGCTCTTGTGGATCCCACAGTGATAAATGCAAAATGAAATCTGGCATGTAACCTTCCATGACTGTTCTAGTTTCTGCTCTACCACCCACGCTGTGTGAAATATACTTTTTTTTGGGGGGGGATGGAGGGAAGAGGAGCAAGAGGATATGCCTACTGTTTTATCCAGGTTTAATGACCCACCCGATGGGCATCATTTGTACAGCATGTATGGGAAGCAAGAACCTCAGGGGAGGTCAACTGCTCAGATAGCTGAGAAGCTTGAATCACACCCAGTGTAGGACTGGTCCAAAGAGCACACGGCTCTCCTTGCTTTTCTGTGCTCCACTCCCTTGCATCCTCACACCCACTGGAGACTGTCAGCCTGGCCTCTGGGAGGACAGAGGACCTACCATCCTCCTCACATACCATCCATTGCTTTGAACATTTATTGAGCAATTACTCTGATGGAAGTAATTGTTAGACACTTCACATACATTGTCTAATTTAATTTTTACAAACCTGTTGGATAGATGTTTTTATTACCCCCATTTTAAGGATGAGGAAGTTGGCCAAGGTCACAGGGCTGGCACATGTCAGCGCAAAGCTGGAACTGCGGCCTAAAATCATCATGTTTTTTCACCAATATCCCACACTGCCCCTCTCTGGGATTCTCTACTTGCTCTCTAAGAAAAGAAGAGGTCTCTTCAGTAGTGGTGGAGTTGATCAAAAGCCACTGGGTGTCTTAAATATAGTGTGCCTCTTTCAATTCAATTCAACAGACTTCCAGAGCCAGGCTCTGGGTTAGGTTCTGCAGGACAATATGAAACTGAATAGGAAAGACCGTCCTCTTGAAATTTGAGACTGTCGGAGACAGAACAAGGTGACTTTCAAGTGCACTACAGAACGCAGGGTTTTGAATCATCATTTGATTATGTAATTTCCTGCATTCATTTATTCATCCATTCATTCAACATGTATTTTCTCTGGTGACAGGGTACGAGTGGAAGGGAGGCAGTTCCTGAATCCAGCCTACCATGTAGAGGAGACAAACAATCCAGCAGTTCAAATACTGAACTTCCTTTTCCAGGTGTTGTTCCAATCATTAAAAAAAAGTCAGTCAAGAATTATTTGTATTACCTTTAACAGACACTGAATAAGTTTTTTAAAAATCTAATTAATAATAAATTCAAAATTAATCCAAGAGAGCAACACTGGATCCACCTGACACATTGTTTCAGAATTCAAGCATTCCCTGATACCACTTGCAATCATTTTTCTTGAAAAAGTCTCTAAAAATAGTTGTTCTCTGCTCCAATAAAAACAACAGCTGAAATCCTAATTCACAAAATACAGAGTATGAGGGATTACCAATTAGCATGGCAACATTTTTTTCCCTTTACAAAAGAATTCGCTGATCCTTAAAAAGGCGTAACAGAGAATGAACGCCAGTATTTAACTTCCCTCATAAAGACCTCGCTCAGTGGAGAAACTGAAGGGTGAGGATCCATAGCCACGTGAAGCCTCTGGAATTACAATGGAAATAATCAAACGATGTGACTTGATTTACAAAATTGGGACTTAAGGACAACTTTCTGGAACAAGCCCACTGAACACCGCAAGGTAGGGAAACTTTCAGTTAACCATAAAGCGGTAGGGCTTTGTGCAAAGAATTTGGGAGTGCGGTGCAATAGAGGGAGGGAAACTGGGCTTTGCCTGGTTTTCTTATTCTTGCTGGGCTTTCTTTACACACGCATTCCGTGCTCTGTGAGAGAAAATACGTTCTCAACTAAAGTTTTGTATTCTATCAGCAAATAAAGTTTCTCTGCTTTCTTTAAGTCACGAGATTACAGCGCTCGAAACTTACGGGACATACTTGTTGATAATCTTTCCTTCTCGGGCCGTTCAATTTGATCACCTTCAACCTGGGCTCCCAGCCTGGTTTTCACTTCACCATTGTAACGTGAGGCACACACTTACTTGTGCCTCGACGCTTATCACTCTCCCTGAGCTACTTTGCTGCCATTTTAAATCGGGTTGCACCGTCGGTCGCATCAGTGGACGGAGCTGCACTGGGCAGCGTTCCCGGTTGCGAGGCCACACACTGTGGAGTCAGTGAGACCGCGGCTTGACTTTTATCCGCCCGCCTTCCAGCGGCGGGGCCCCGGAGGCTGCAGAGCGCGCGCACAGCGCCCCCGGTGGTCGTTCCCGAGCGCCCCCTCCCCGGCCCAGCCCACCCCCGCGACGAGCCGCCTGGGCCACGCGGGCTTCGCGGGGCTCGACGCGCACCCTGAATCGGGTCCGAAACTTCGCCCGCAGCCCCCGCCCCGAGAGGGCCCTTCCTTCTTCCCAACCACTCTCAGAGGGAGGGGCGGCCGCTCCCCGAAGGCGTTCAGCGCCCAAGCCCTGACCGAGCCCCACGCGGGCGCCGAGCAGGGTGCGGGTCACGGGGCCGCCGCCAGGTCTTCCCCCTCCCGCGCCGGAAGTCCGCGCGTGCG